TGCTCCCGTGCGTCACTCCTCCCCTCTGCAATCGGTGGGGCGAACCTCCCACAGAGGCCTTGGCGCAGATTACGGGTTGCAATCCCGCCTGCCGCCTGCCTCTCTGAACCAATGGACTAGACGGGCAGAAAGAGAAAGTTGAGTCTCTCAGGTACAAGAAGGGTGCTCTCAGACTCGCAGGAGAGGGCCTTTAAATCTCGATGCGCCCGAGGGCCCCGCAATGGCGGCCAATGTACCAGCTTGGTCAAACTTCTAAAGCTAAACTGTCGCGACGACTCCCCTGGCGACCTCTCAATTTGCAGCAGTAACCCCCCCCCCCGCTTCGCCACCACTTCCTCCACGCAGCAGCAATAACCTCCCTTGCTCTCCTGGCTGGTGGCAATCCTGCAACTTCGCCCTTCGGGCTTCATCACTTAGTAGGAACCGAATGGTTGCGACCCTGACCAATGGCTAAAACTCGTAGCCCTATGCCCACAGTCTGTAGTCAGCAGTCCGCAGTCCGCTCCTCCCTGTGCTAATTAGCGGCTGGGCACCGCAGTTCATCCCTCACTTCCCCTCCGGTATCTCCGTGCTCAGAGGTAAGCGCTCCTCCGGCCCCCTGGCCGCTGGCTAACTACACACTGGCCAGCAGAAGCTCCGCAGCCCCGCTGGTCTTCTTAGTTCCCGGGCTGCTAGGATGGGCAACGCACTGACCAACGATAAGTCTTCGATCCCGTAGTTGGCCCTCCTCTGATAAACAAAATGGGAACGGACCTACCGCCGGGACGTGGGAGTATGCACCCACAGGTGCTGCCCGCTGTAACGCCTGTCCTACTGCCGGCACAACCTGACCAGGTAATCTCTCTCTCTCTCCCTCTGCCAGTTGGGCCAGATGAAGCGCCAAAACCTCAGCCTATGTGAATCCGCTTGAGTAGAACTCTCCCCTCTCTCTTTCTGCTACAGTCGGTTAATGTACAAAAACGAGGAAGGGCCCTCCACGAAGATGTGGGAGGTTGCGCCCTCCCTCCATTCATGCAACCGAAGAAATACGGGGCGGCTACTTTTCACGGACGGGATAAAGAGAGTGTTGGCCCACAGGTGAGTCCCCACCCTCTTTGCCAGCTTCCTCTGCTGCAACTTCGATCAATGGAGCAAGCGGAGCCCAAATGAACCTCCTGCTGTTATACGGGAAGATGCATTTGCCTAAACCTTCAATCTTCCCGTACGGCCCGCGCAGCTCCTACCGCCCATACCGGTCAAGCCACCGCTTTAAACCCAGATCTGGCACGTCCATGAGATCCAGAGCATGCCATAACCCCTGGCCACCTCCTCTATTTGTCTAAATCTATCAAACGAATGACCAGGATACCTCTTGCCCCGCTCCCCGACATATGCCCTCCATAGCTCCTCACAGACCCTTCATTCGTACCGATCATCCTACCCTCTTTCCTTTTTAACTAGCTTTAGAACTGAGGTCGCCCGACCGAAGACCCCCCATGTACCACTTTCTCCCGTCCGGCTCCGACCGACATCGAGCGAGGTAAGCTATTTCCCGCGCCCACCATATCTACTCTCCTATCGACACTACGCAACCCACTCCCGTACATCCTCTCTACTGCGGTTCGTCACCCGCTGTACTACCTGCGGTTGCCCCAGCCCCCGTAGCTCCGCCTCCTTCTCTGCCTATCTCCCTCGCCTGCGAGTTCTTCTTCCCGCTGCTGTCTAACGCTGTCGCCCTCGTTCGTCGCTCCGGTCCGTTCGTGCCCGTTATCACCTTGGCCTCCGCCGGGCGCTACTCCTGGCTGGCTCTGCTCGGGCCGGTTAGCCACCCCCCGGGTCCCCAACGGCCAGCCCCGCTTAGGCAGGCCGTCGACGCGGTCCCCTTTTGCTACAAGCCTAAGGGACCGGGTCTGGCCCCGCTCCAGGTAGTAGCACCAGCCACTCCAATGGAAGCTTCTCAGGTCCATGTGCGGGGGCCGTGCGGAAGGTACCACCACGGACTCGTTCCCGGTGCCCTGGGCTGCCCCTGCCCAGGCACGCTCCGCAAAATTTTCGGGCCCCCACGGGCATACTCAGAATCAAACCCCTCGCAAACCCCTCGTAGCAAGTCGTGACTGTTGAATGGCACACTTCGTAAACGGGCCCCGTGCCCCCAGACTTCTTTCCCCTCGCGGTTCAACCCCCTATCGTCGTGCGCCTTTGCGGGTTGCGCCACGCCGACAACACTCCGCCCCCGCAATCGAACATGCGGAAGCCCGACCCGCACTTCTATTACCTCGCCTACCCCGCTTACCGCCCGAAGCCGCACTGTCGTTGTTGACGCCGCCCGCCGTACGCACGCACAGATCTCAGGCGGCACATCAGTCAGCAAGACATAATTTTTTTAATCCTTATTTAATCAGAAAAAAAACAAATCGTGGCCAGCGATCATGCCGACCCTTCAACCATCAACAATAAAATAGATCAAGCGCACCTCAAAAATCCGCACGCCCACACACTCCCTGTTCTAATCAGCCATCCAGTCAATGTAAATCGCAGACGCAGCCGCGCCTAGCGCGGTATACTTAAACTTTAAACCGGACTACTTTCTGTCGCTTGCAAAAAACAGGGCGGATACCCTTGTAAGGGTATTCGCGTCGACAGCGCGCTAATTGTTCCAGATCAGAACACGTGAGACAAGGAGTTGCACAAAGTGAAAGGATTGTACAACAACTCCATTCACTCTGCAACAGGTGTGACACCGAATCAGCTGCAATGCGGATGGCAGCTGCGCAATCCTCTCTCCTATCTGTTCCCCGAACGGTCACCTGGTCTGACGCCCGGCATGCCTGGCTACAATACCAAGTACGGACGCCTGCTCAAAGTTGCTATTGCAGCAATGAACAAGCGTCAGCATGCCATGATCAAACATGCGAATAAGTCGCGCAAAGAAGAGAACTTCAAAGTAGGGGATTATGTCTGGGTCAAAATGTCTGAGTTTTCTGATGAAGAGGGCATATCACGGAAGCTTCTTCCATTATACTATGGCCTTTGGCAGGTTTTGAAGGTGATTGTGGATGATTTTGGTCCTTCATATGTGATTGATGTGCCTCCTCATCTGCGCACATATCCGGTCTTTCATGCATCCAAATTGTTTCCACACATCGATGAGGAAACTTTTCCCTTCCGAGATCCCATGATACCTCATCCTATCGACGGCGGCCATGAGATAGGCAGAATCGTTTCCCATGAAGGCAGGGGAAGGAACAGACAAAGGTTCACTTCCTCTATCACCCGTGAACGAGTTTTTCTGCATCGACCGGAAGGAGCTGGATAAAGAATGCTCCACGTGTTGTGAACACTTATGAACGACAGATCACTGATGGACAGACTGTTAAGTTTTCTGCAAGACTCACTCCTTACGGTATTACTAAGTCTCTCTTTTTGATCTACGCCTACGATGCCTTTTGTGCTGACTCTGAATGAGTTACTCGCTCGAAGGGACCTCGCTCTTGAGAGGGGGGTAGTGTAATGACCCGCCAAAAACACAGACTGAGAACACTGCTGATTTCTGGGATTTGCTGCTGGAATGAATGCCTTGCTGAAATTCCCGCATTCTGCTGTGATTTCCATGTCTGTGTGTGTGTGCGTGCCTGCTGGTTTGCATGCCTGTCCGAGTGCTTGTCGGTTGAGTGTGTGTGTGACCCGCAAGGGTACTTGTTGGTTGAAATGCCCCGCAGGGCCGGTACTTACCTGTGGCCGTGACTGTGAAGGGTTGCAGGGGGGAAAACACTCGAGTAGCGGGGGTAGGCCCGCAGCACTTAGAGCAGAGGGGAAAAACACTCAAATAGCAGGTAGGCCGGTACCACTGAAGTAGTGGTAGAAGTGTTGGGTACTGGAGGCCGAGCAGAAGAAGACAAAAATTTGGCATTTTTAGAGGCCCAGTAGCGGTAGGCTAGAGGTAGGCCGGTACTAGTCCAAGTAGCCCGGGTCTAGGGCCTGTCCGGAGGTTAGCAGAGCCTGCAATGATGTTTCCCTCCGAAAGGGAGGAGGTACCGGTTGCTGGGAGGCCGCTCGGCCTAGGAAGTCACCGCCCAGGAGGCCAGTAGGCCGCTATATCTTTCGGAGGAGCAAGTAGCTCCTCCTCATTTGCGGTGTGCAAGGATTGGCGACATGCTGCTGGAGCACAGCGCTGGACTGGGACAGCGCTGCTTGGAGGTGAAGGGCAGCTGGAGCTCAGCCTGGCTATGGCGAGCAGTCCAGCTTGAGGAGGAGGAAGAAGGGGGGGGCGAAGGAGGAGAGTGGCGGGGCACTTACCTGGCTATGGTAGACACCATCTTCATCACCTTGTTGGGCTCTGCATCTGGAGGGCCCCAGTTTGGGTAGTGCTGCACCGAGGAAGCTCGAGGCAGAGTCAGGCATGGCGGACCAGTCAGCAGCACCATAGCTGCTGTGGGCTTTCCTTTGGACATCAGCGCAGCACCATAGCTGCTTTGGGTTGTCCTTTGGACATCAGCGCAGCACCATAGCTGCTTGGGGTTGTCTTTTGGACAGGAGGGCAGGGCCCTCATTAGTCCGCCATAGCCTATGCATGAGAGAGGAGGCTGAAGGAGGGAAGCCATAGCTATGGTGGACTTGTTGTTGTTGTTGTTGTTGTTGTTGTCGAGTTGAGTCAGCAGTAAGAGGGAACTTCGGATATTGATTCTGGTTCATCCATTCATTGTTATTATTATTATTGAGAGAAGAATAAGATTGGCGAAAGGAGGAGGAGGAGGAAGGTGGAGAGAGAAGGGGGAAATTGTCATTGGTCCTGCTGGTGCATATCTTCTTCTTCTTCTTCTTCTTCTTCTTCTTCTTCTTCTGCTTCTTCTTCTTCTTCTTCTTCTTCTTCTTCTCTCCTCTGGTCTTTATCTCTTTGCAAGTGCTTTCCTCTCTTTCGCAATTGGGTGGCATTGTCTTTCATTGTGAATTTGCACTTGGGAAATGACCAGGATCGTAACAAAAATCGTTAACCATATCTTGTACTCCATGTTGGATCACAGACAGTGCGGAAGACTAAAATCGTTAACCAGGATCTAAATCCAGTCTGGAATCAGGACTTCGTCTTCAAGGAGGTGGCAGGTGGAGAATACCTGAAGATAAAGTGCTACGACTCTGACAAGTTTGGTGAGCAAAGCATTGGAAGTGCTCTTGTGAATTTACAGGTGCGTATGTGGGAGGCTTTCTCAGCTCTTGTTCATGAGAGCAGCCCCAAGCCCTGTGTGAGTGATGCTAATGGTGTTCACCATCTTCTCAAGCCCTTTATGTGGTGCCGAAACACAGAAAGTGACTATGCGGTTTGTGTTTTTCTCTTTCCACTTTGGTCACGTCATTATGTCCGAAGATCTCGGCAGGTTTTATCGACCTACAACTTGAATTCACTTGCTCATACCGAAATGGTGGTCATAGACACTGGATTGGGAACTTGATGATGTCAATTGAAAGTTTGTCCCTGACTTCCCATACCAGCTAATCGAATGATTGTTGTCAAGTACCTTGCAGCTAAGGCTGCATTTTTGTAGTGCTTGTCAATATCGGAGGTGGAGGGGGGGGATTTGTCGACGGGGTAAAAGGTTGTGTTGTGACAGCCGGTCCGCTGAGGGGACTGGCTATTGACAGTACAAGAAGAAGAAGAAGAAGAAGAAGAAGAAGAAGAAGAAAGGAGGAGAGAGATGATGAGGAGGAGGAGGAGGTGGACCTGCCGATTTTGAGTTGCGTTGATGGGAAAAAAAGAAAAAAAAAAGATGAGGAAGGAGGAGGA